ATACTCTTTATGAAATCTGATCAACCATCTTAGTTATACTAGTTTTTACACTCAGTCGAGTTTGCACACTTGTACTGCCTGGACAATAAACGTAACCTTGTCAATGAACATGTGTGCGTAAAGAATGATATAAAAGTTAAGTTACAAGTTGACTTCGATGGACGATGGATTATATGTAGGCCTCGTACAAATTTCTTTAAGAATTAGATTAGTAATCAGCAAAATACTAAATACTGTGCGCGGTGATCTGTAGTGGTTGTGAGACAGCTTAAAGCTATTTTAACACAGTAAGAACAAACAGATTTGCAGAATAAAATGACGTTAGTTTATTTCAAGGATATCCATCAGTTACACGCAGCCTAAGGTCATATATTTTAGTCACGATAAACGACAAATTACATATGATGACATTGAAAATCCTAGAATTATAAAAAATGTCAAACGAAAAATGATTCAAGAGAAGGGAGTCGCTAAATGATGGCGAAAATAAGAACGCCAATGAGTGTCCAAAAGATATGAAAATAAAATGACAGGAAGCGACAAAATGGAAGACGTTTCGAGTTACTGACAGACAAAACAGATATTTATTTGGCTTCAAATCTTGATCTATGCCGCTATGCGGTCATAATAAACCTTTCTAGACAATTTCGGGCTTCGTAGAGTCGATCAGGATAAGTTATTTTATCTTCGACCCAATGCAATTTCATATTTTGTTGAATAAAGTCATCCTTGCAGTCGCAGGCCAACTCTTTGTCTTCTGATAATTTCAAGGCTCAGTGAACAGTTGTTTTCGTATTCATTTCGAGCATTGTATGGCATCCCTGGTCTCTTGAAACTGTGCTTCAAACAACACATTACAGCCTTCAAAGGCCACAGTATCCGAAAAGTCAAGACAGGAGCATGGTTGGTCAAAACTCCAGCATTTCGGACAGTGGAAGTGTGTTGTGTTTTTAAGATATCCATAGAGAACCCAAGTGTGATTATCCACGTAACATAATTCGACCAATATAGTGAAACTGCAAAATTCACTATTCGAGGTTGTGGAGATTTGATAGCAAGTTAGCATTCGCGACTTTGCAGATGAAGGCATAACATTAGGTCTTAAGTCAACTGCTCGACCGAATCCCAGTTGACGGTAGCCTGGACGCTAACTGAGCTATGGTTCACTGATCTACGTACAACCAGGTCATGGGCTCGAAACCCCCTCTACCTATTCACAGTTCAGAGTGGAGTTATTGTATACTACTTGAGCTGTTTCGTAAATCAGAACCAATATCCTTGAGTACCGAGTTGGGACATTCCTGGGAGTACAGATATTTTTTTTAAAAATGTAAGGAAAAATCAAAATGTTTCAAAGGATAAAGTTGACGACGATGATGACACCGGACTTCACTGGTGCTGGTGTGATAATAACACTTCTTAACTGTGATCGTCGTATAGATTAGATCTAGGGGAGTTTGAAAAAGAAGTTGAGTTAGAATAGATGGTAAAATAACCCTGGAATTCTAAAGTAAAACTGATGCTGATCATATTATATTTCAGGTATTTCATTATTGTTTAGTAGTGTCGAATACACGTATTAGAATCCATTACCGTCGACGATGAATAAGATTCACCTGGAAACCCATCCTAGCAACAGGAAGACAGTATCTTTGAGCAGTGTGTATAGAGCTTATCCTCAAATCACATTATTCTGCAACATCTGATTGTGAAATTTCACAAAGAAACTAACTGCTTTTAGCTTGTTTCATCATTCCCCAACATAATTTCCTGAAAAAAGTTCAACTCAAGGAATGTTTTGCCACGAATATAGGCTGAATGGATCACTGCATTTGACAAGCCTGACAACAGCGCTATGCTTTAGTGGTCTAATGAACAGAAATATACTATGCAGTCAATAACAAAGGGGTGGATAAGAAAGGGCGGAAGAGATGTGGCTCATGGAATTAAGCATATTGTTATCAACTGAATGGTTCAGCATTGAAACCATACTACACCAACTTGGGTCATATCATATCAAGCGGGCAGTTTGATACGATGCTACACATTTTGTTGCTCATATTTTAGTGTATGTGAGCACCTGTGACTTATGACTAAGTAGAACTGAGATCGCGCTGTTCTATTATATGAATATTAAACAAGATGTTTAAAGGTATAAGATAAGAGGCTTCAGGTTCCTGACCATCGTTACCTGCTTAGCATAGGTCGTTTTTTCTGGTGCTACCATGTCAGTGACGTAGGAGTCAGGCTCAGAGTATTGAGGAGAAGAGGAAGTCCACGATATTGAGAACTTCCATCGAGTGAGGTGGCTGGTACATACGTTAGGCATACCTAGTCACTGACAAACCTGTCTCACAGTCTTCTCTACCGATCAGAGTTACCTTGATGAGGCGCTAGGGCTTGTGCCTCACAATGACTAAAAGAGTTACCCCGGTTGGACCACTAGTTCCTTCGAGGTCCTACCACGTCAGAAAGGTCCCTTGGATAGTGTAAGCAGTTACTGCTAAAGTCCGAATCGATAGGTTATGATGGGGTTCGAGGAAGAAGTTATACTGCAGGGTGGACAAGGGTATGACA